AGCACTGCACGCGCGCGGCTAGCCGGAGCACGAATCTCCGAGCATATTGAGATGAGTGGAATAAGTTGAGATGTCTACTTTTATGGATGGATCGATATATAGCTTGTTAGCACATATCCGTTGAAGTCCAAAATTACATAGATGGTTAATCGTACTATAGTATACAATTAATTAAGGCCTCATTTAGGACGGCTCAACTTCACCAGCGAATCATTCTTTTTGCTTTAGCTCTAGAGTAGCATTACCAGTAAAGCTAAAGTTGTTTTGGTGTTGTTTGGCAAAACAACTACACATGTAGATTTTCCTAAAACATGATCACGTAGAATCTCACATAGGGCCCACAAGTGTGAGGTGAAGCTGTGAAAAGCAACTATTTTCAGCTTTATCTCATACCATTCCTATATGAGAACATGATTTAAGGAGCTTCATTGATGAAGTTGTTTGCAAATGACTTGTTTGGCAATAAATAGCTTTAAATAACTCATGAAGTTGATGGTGAAGCTCAAACAAGCCCTAACTCTTTGTTTGGATAGGAAGCCTTTTGTGAAGTGCCAGAGAAATACCATTGTTTTATGAAATACTTTATTTTTTATCAAAATTGTTCGGTATTTAGATGTGACGGAGCTTTGCCATGAAAAGAGGAAGGGCCAATATGATATGAAGTGGAAAGAGAGGGGGCAGATTAGTGTTTCACCACCACTTAAAAATGGTCAAACTAGGACTTTGATGAAGGATTTTTCTAGCTTATAGGGGGGCCACGGCCCACTATGGCCCTCACTAAGCTCCGACACTGGTGTTTATAGATGCAAAACATGATAATGTCAAAACCTAGTATTTTCAGAGTTTCAGAAAACTTCCATTCAAGATCTATTTTTCTCTAAACCATGTTTGGCACAACTGTGGTTTATAAATTAAACCACATGTTTTTTGTGTGTGAAGAATTCGATACATACCATGCATGGTATTGCAAAATATTTTGGTTTTCAAAAGGTGTTTGGTGTTTGATAAAACTTTTATTTCAGTTTGTTTCAAAAACTATATGGTGTGGTCAAAACCTTAGTCCTGGGTTCCTAGTTCAATCCTTTGAAATCATCTTCTCACTTAGCTAGATTTGGCTCATAAAACCACTTTTTTTCCAGAAAAGTTAATAATTTCTTGATGCCATATTTTTTGAAATAAAACTGCGATATCTAAAGTACATATCCTAAATAGTAAGCTCCCTAATAAAGAGCACAATTTTAAAATAATTAAGATCAAAATATGGGCGGCTGTGATCGCGAAGTAGACAGTGCCACAGCCGTGCGTGGAAGCTACAGTGGCCACCGCAAGCGCCAGCGCGGAGAAGACAAACTGACGCTAGCTCCGATCCAACCCGTCCCCGGGAAATTAAAAAAAAGTCCACTAGAAAACAAAAAACGATATTGTACTATATACTAAGTAATTAATCCACGCCAAGACTGATTTTTCTCCCATGTCCCATGCATACCTAGCAGGCTAGCACTAGCTACCTAGGCAGCACCGGATGCATGTGGACCCCATGGCCAGGAGAGGGAGAGATTTTGTGTACATTGTGCAACTGCTTATTGCACACACATTAACGTGTAGGGGGGGTAGGGGTACGCACGGGCGGAGGGTCGGGCGCATGCATGCGTGGCTGCTGGCGGCCTGGCGCTGGCTCGCCCCGTACGTGCGTGAAAAGACGAAGCGGCCCTCTCTCGATCCACGGGAGAAAATAAAAAGCAGAGGACGGACGGAGCCGTGCATCGGGTGCATGCATGCATGGCATCGGTCTCGCGCACACCCACAGCAGCCCTGGTGAGCTATCGCATTCGCGTCGCATGCATGCGTGCAAAGCAGCGACGAGCCAACGACGACGACGCCCGTTGCCCGACGGAGAATCGGATGAGGCGCCGTCGTGTGGCCGCCGGCCGGTCCGTCCCTTGCCTCGTTCGTCTCGGACGTACCTCTCGGTCTCGGCCGGGGGCTAGTTTTTGCACGGGAATGGGACTGTGTGCTGAGCACAGAAAGTGCGTGCTGGTCGCGCGCGCTGCTGCATCTTTCTAAGTTTTCGTGTAACCGTGCAGCAATGCAATGTCGTCACGTCGACCGGTCGACGAGACGACGACGACGCGTCGGACTCGAATCTCCCCCCCAGGATCGTCGAGCATCCAAGGCGCGATCGATTTCATTCTCGCCAGGTCTCTTAAAACCAGTTATTATTGCCCCTAGCGAGTAGCCAACTATAGGCAGGTAAACCGGATCCAGCGTGTACGTACATGGTTTTTTTTCTCGGTTTGTGCGTCTTCTTATTAAGGAGGAAGGTTTTTGCGGTTCAAATGCTTTGACAGGGTTAAAGGGGACTATAACATATTACAATGAGGCTCAAGACCTCTCTATAGAGGTCAATGTACTTAGGCTATTATACCGGACAGAGACAACCCAAGTGTTTTGCGCCGACATTGCTCGGCCTCGTGTTTGATTACTGCGAGCAAGCTGGTGAAGTTGGGTGACGACGCCACGGAAGCATCTTGCATTCATCTCCTTCCACATCTCCCAAGCAACTAGGGCGAAAACGGTGTCCACATTGATCTCCAAGCGCCTCACCAATCGAAGATCATGTCTAAGTTGGGGAGGCCTTGCGGGTGTCCGAGCGCCACGAGAACACTCCACCATACCTGCTTGCTGAAGGAGCAAGAGACGACGATGTGTACGTACATGGCTATACTGTGGCAAAAAGAAAAGAGCATTACGTTACTGTAGGAAACCATGTAGAGAGGCATCTCTATGGATCTACACTGCTACTCATATGTTAGGTCCTCTTTTTCCGGTGCTTTAAACCGATTGAGTTTCGCCTATACTGATACATTTTTGGTACTGTTCACATGAGTTTTTTTCCTCTTTTTTCCGCCTCAAATGAACTAGAAGTTAGGTTTTTTAGCTTCACTGCCTTCGACTTTTTTTTTAACTCTTTAGCAATAAAGAGAGTGCTCGGCTGCACTTCTTGCAAAGGGGCCGTTCGGCTGGCTGGTTGCCAGCGGGCTGGCTTGTTTCCTCACTCACGAAATCACTGTTTACAATCAGCCGAAACAGTATTTTTTTCTCACAACAATCAACCGAAACAGTATTTTTCAGTCCTGCCGAACAGACCCAAAGCTTCAACTGCAACTGTGTTGTACAGTTGCTACAACTGCAGCTGCAGCTGCGCTGGAAGTAGCGCAACCAAAAATTCTAAAACTAAAGCCGTTCAAAGCTTCGTCAAAGATGACCTTAGCTAGTTTGTTTCTGATTTTTAACTTGTTACCGATTCAACTTACGCCTTGTTTAGTTCAACTTCAACTTTTAAAAAGTTGCTACAGTACCTGTCACATCGAATGTTTGTGGCCCGTGCATAGAGCATTAAATGTAGACGAAAAGAAAAACTAATTGCACAGTTTGATGGAAAAATTGCGAGACGAACGTTTTAAGCCTAATTAGTCCATATTTAAACACTATTTGCCAAATAAAAACGAACGTGCTACATTAGCCCCAAAATCTAAATTCCTACCGCTAAACAAAAGGGCTTACACTTATTCCTACGTAAGAACAAAACTCATGACCTCGTCCATCAATTGCTTCAGCTACCGCACACCCTACGACAAGAGTGAAGAGTAAAGACTGAAGAGTGACGTCCGGCGTTAAGCTGACCGATGACAGGTGGGTCCACCCAGACTCGGGCCCCACGGGCAGTGGCGAGGGCTGCGCTGGCTCTACAAGTAGGGCCGGGGTGAAAACGGATAGAAGAAGCGCGGGCTCGACTCGAGCCCACCGCAAGCAGGAGAGGAAACGCGGCAAACTGACAGTTGGCTGGAAGCGGGCCCAGGGAGGAAAGGCCCAACGACCGGTCTCACCTGCACGTGGGGCCCGCTTCCCAGGGAGCTTGTTCCTTCCGCTGGAGCCATCCTCTACGGTTACTGTTCTCCGTTTCCGTTTTCTTTCCACAGCCAACTGTTTCTTACTAGGCTCCATTAATATTGTTTCCATCAGTTCAGCTTTCCAGATTTCTGGACTGTGTATATGCAAGGTATTTCTGATGCCCGCTATGGTATTTGGAGGTGACATTATATTTGGTAATATGATTAAGGGAGACAGAGAATTTAAAAAGGATCATACTCATACCATATACAAAAGCTGCAATTCGAGTTCGAAAAGGAATCCATCCCCTAAATGTGGCATGTAATTGGCACTTGCCTTTTTCATTCTCGGCGTTGCCATTTTCGCTCGCTGCTGCTTCACGGTTCACGCACCTTTTCCTTCCTCCCAAGACCCTCTCCCAGCTCGTACCAGCAGCTTACATTACTGCCCATGTACTCGTTATCATTATTAAGCTATAAGCAGCGGCTTGGATTTGAGCGAGCAGGCCGAGAGCGGGGGGTGATTAGATTATAGAAAACCCAAAGCACGGAGACCGAGAGATGGGCACGCAGGGTGGGGGATAGAAGAGGCAGGGGAACGGGGCACCAGATCAGGGTTCAGGGGTGGGGGACATTGCATCTCGCTTTCGCATTGCACTTGCACGCACCACCATACGCCGCACAGCTGAGCTCTACGCCTACTCCTAGTCCTGTACAAACCTATTCCGGCGTGTGGCTGTACCGCTAGCCTTAACCCCTAGAGCGAGACGGAGGCCTACGGAGGAGGAGGGAGGAGGAGAGGGTGTTCAGGATTTCAGGAGCAAAGTGCAGACTGCACAGCGGTGCTGCCTTGCCAAACTGCTACGGTGCTAGGCTGTGCTGCTGCAGAGGCGCCGAGGCGGGGCATTCGTTCCTCCCCGTTACGAGGAGAGGAGGAAGATTTGGTGGGGGGTTTTTCACCGCAAGAAAAGATGGATTCTTGATCCCCGGCGCGTCTGGTTTGTTGCGGCAAGCTGAAGCTTTTGCTCGGCAGTCGATTTGGTCCAGGATTCGCGGCTCCCGGGTCAGAATCTTGCTCTGAGAGGCGAAATTTCTGGGAGTTATGAGACAATGAGGGAAGAGAGCAACAAGAAGAGCAAGGTATTTCCTTGCTTTCAGTTCAGTCTCGGATGTGCCTCTTTGTTCCGTTTGCTGTGTTTTTTTATTGATCGAGCTTTGTGGGATTTCTGCTTGTTCATTCATGCACGCAGCTCTCCTGGTCGAAATCCCTCGTGAGGAAGTGGTTCAACATCAAGACTAAGGCGCAGGATTTCCATGCGGATTGCGACGCCGCCCAAGGTAACGCTACTTTAGGAATGTTCGCTGAATGGAATTTTCGTCATCCTGCGCTTGACGTTTCTCGCGTTACCAGATTTTCAGGTCTAGTTCCTAGGTTTCATTCATAGATAGATGCATTACCATCATCAAACATGTCTCGATCCTACACGTTCCTGGTATTGGTCTTTACAATGTCCCAACCAGACACCTTTTCCCCCAAGTGATGCAGATGTTTGTCTGTTGCTGCTTGGAATTTTTGTATCTTTCTCGTCTCATGGCGTGTTTACCTGCCTAAGTTTGCACTTTCATTTCCGAGACAACAGCTCTGCTCAAACGGACTCAAGCAAATGGTTTTTTCCTTTGCATCTGCTGCATTTTGTTTGTTTGGGCTAAATTTGCTTAGTGATTCAGGGAGGGACGGGAATGGCGGTGAATGGAGGACCAGCTGCTCAGAGAGGGAGGCAGGCGCAGCCAAGAAAAGCAGAACTGGTCAGTTAAAGCATTTGGACCACGCTTCTCTCCCTTTCTCTGTCTTCAGGCATCAGAGATTGTAGCTACCTCCCTTTTATTTTGCCAGAGCTCCTCTTTTTGCTAAACTGATTTCATTGGTCGTTCAAATAGTCTTTGTCTATGTGTTTTTTTACCGGTTGATCTGATTATTCTTTGTTTCTGTTGTTCCTTAATGACTTGTAGACCGGTCGTCGAAGCGGAGTAGTATGGACCGAATCCGAGGAGGAAAAAACGATGTCGTGGATGCGGCACGCCTCACAGAAGTTCAGAATTACAGGTAGAGCTGCTTTTTTTCCACTCCATGTGCTTCTTTGCCTTGTGAGATTAGAAATCAAATGGAAAGCGTGGACCAACTGATCTGTTGTGTGCTAGTAGTGTTATGGTAGTGTGCATCTCAGATTTTCAGTGTTTGTGCTTGTAGGTAGTTCTTGCAGTTTGACTTCACTGCAATAATCTGATGAAGATCTCTTTTGTTTCCCTGCTTTTGTAGAATCTTTGCCTCCACGTGGAATGTCGGAGGTAAATCCCCACCAAGGGGATTGAATCTTGATGACTGGCTCCATTCTTCACCTCCAGCTGATATCTATGTGTTAGGGTGTGTAGTGCCCAAGGGCTTCCTAAAATTTAAACAATATTTGACTTCACCATATGCTCTTGAGCTATTCCCTTTTAACTTCTTGTTCTTGTTGTTAGATTTCAAGAAATTGTTCCTTTGAATGCTGGAAATGTTCTAGGCACTGAAGATAATCTCCCAGCGAAAAAATGGGTATCCCTTGTCAGGAGGACACTGAATAAGAATCCTGGTTCATGCTGTTATGGTGGCTATCGCACGCCATCTCCTGTTCCTGATCCAGTTGTAGAACAAGATGCTGATTTTGAGGGATCATCGAGAAGGCAGGACAGTTTATCCTATTTGCACTGTCGGTCATTCAACCTTAGCCGGAGTTTAAGAGTTGAAGGGAACCATATGCTGCCACACCCAAGGTTGGATCGTAGGTTCAGTGTCTGCGACCCAGGTAGCTTGGGAGGCAGGCCAAGTGATTTTGATGGGAACTTCCCATTCATGGGATCACCAGATGATCATTGTATCGAGGAGAATACAAGCGATGGAGCATATTTTTCACCCTTCCCATATGGCTATGGTGCCTCTGCACCTATGGAAGAAAATGATTATCAGTCAAATACATCTAGGTATCTTTTTTTTTTTCTCAACATGTCCATAAAAGTTTGCACATGTGTGTTCTGGTACACATTTTTATTTTTTTTAATCATTTGAGCTTAGTTATTGCCTATGGTACTTTGTTTCTATGTTCCTGAAAATAACTCCAGAAATCTTCTATTTATACCAGGTACTGTTTGGTTGCCAGTAAGCAGATGGTCGGTATATTTCTCACCATTTGGGTACGCAGTGAAATAAGAAGTGATGTGAGAAACCTGAAAGTTTCTTGCGTGGGTAGAGGGCTAATGGGTTATCTTGGAAATAAGGTAAACAATGTACATTCTGCACGGTTTTCATTTTTGTCTTGCTACGCATTTTATTTAGGAATTTTTTAACTAGATTACTAGAAAACGGTTTGTTGTTCTTAGATTGATCACCTTGGATGTGGATGGTTATCTGTTGTTACTACGATATAGACTACTGAGCATGTTTTCATTTTGCTGCAGGGGTCTATATCCATAAGCATGTCTTTGCACCACACAACCTTTTGTTTTGTCTGTTGTCATTTGACCTCCGGTGAAAAGGAGGGAGATGAACTTCGGAGGAATTCTGATGTTATGGAAATTCTAAGGAAGACTAGATTTCCACAGGTCCGTGGTGCTGCTGATGTCAAGTCACCAGAAACAATTCTTGAGCATGAGTACGCATCGATGCTCGTATTTTTTTTTCCTGAGGCAATGCTTCTTATATGCATAGTGATGTAGTAGCATCAGAGAACTGGCACTAATTGGATATTCCTTCTTTTTCTAATTGTAGTCGTATCATTTGGCTTGGGGATTTGAATTATCGGATTGCTCTTTCGTACTGCTCAGCTAAAGCTCTCGTTGAAATGCATAATTGGAAACAACTATTGGAGAAAGATCAGGTAATTAGCTACTGCTCTGTTACACAACATCTTTTTCTAGTCAGTGTGACTGAGGATCATGTTTGACATTACTTGTTTGAAAACAGCTACGGATAGAACGAAGGTGTGGGCGTGTTTTCCAGGGATGGAAAGAAGGCAGGATTTATTTTCCTCCAACATATAAATACTCATTCAACTCAGATCGTTATTCTGGTGTGCGTCCAAAAGAAAAGCGGAGAACACCTGCTTGGTAATTTCTTCTGCCCTATTATCCACAAGAATTGCATCCTCCATTGAGTTACTCCGAAGGAATTTCCTGATGTATCTTTTATTTTAATCTTATTGAAGGTGTGATCGCATTTTGTGGTATGGTAATGGCCTCATGCAATTGTCCTATGTTCGCGGAGAATCTCGCTTCTCTGACCACAGGCCAGTGTACAGTATTTTCATGGCTGAGGTTGAAAGCATCCGCCACAGAAGAAGAAACATGGGCTATTTCAGCTCTAGAATTGAGGTGGAAGAGCTTTTGCCATATCCATACAGCTCTGGAGAAATGAAGTTCTACTAATTTGGCTGACATAGGCATATGATTGGAGCTTGTTTTCTACTTCAACTTAGGTAGGCTTGGTCGATTCTCGATAAAACTGCTTGCTTTTTACATGTATGCCTTGTATTTACACAGCAGCGTTGGTGACACAGGTTGCCGGTTCCTTGATGAACAATAACTGGGGTCGTAGATTGGTTGGATGGTCAGGTGTAAACCTGACTATTTTTTCATCTGGCTTTCATATAGCATCCAGTCAGATGATTGAGAAGCACATTGCACAAAAACTAACATAAAGGTAACCGTTTTGTTTTGTTGCAAAAATCTAGAACTCCTCAATAGTCCAAGATCCTAATAGGGTGTTCTCTGCTGATTGACCTGTTTTTGCAGGATAGTTGGGCAATTTTGCAACTAACCATTTGCCTGTGGACAGCCATGTTGAAACAAGGATCGGCCCGCATCTGTACATCATTAACCACACAGCTCAGAAAAAACCTCAGCCTGTTCGCTTGGTCGTGTTTGGCTTATAAGCCATGGCTTATCAGCCAACGAACAATATTTTTCTCTCACACTAAATCAGCCAACAGTACTTTCAGCCATAGCTTATAAGCCAAACAAGCCTAAACGAACAGGGCAACTTGCCCCCCATTTGGTTCTCTCTTTTTTTAGGGATGTTAATAAACATACATATTTTTTTCTTCTCCCTTTGCCTTTGGGAAATCTGTTAGCTTGAGATTTTGGGGTGTATCAGCATGAGCATGAGGTGTAAAATCATTGCAAATCGGTAAAAGGTGAAATGATGCTTGAATTGAACTGATCCTTGATCATGATCTCCAGTGCTGAGGGAACAGTGATAGATTGATGTGACTTCAGAGGTTTGCAAAGGTGTAATCATGTGCATAACCTTTTTTTTATCTTTGTCCCTGTGGTGTAGTACCTGAGAAGCAAAATGATGCCTGCATTTGCTGTGCTCATTGCTGTGGCAGGGCAAAAATATATACGTATATACTAGTTCTGTTAAACCTTTTCTAATTCTAAGGCCCTGTTTAGTTCCCTCTCAAAATACCAAATTTTTCAAGATTTTCCGTCACATCGAATCTTTGGACGCATGAAGCATTAAATATAAATAAAAAATAAAACTAATTATACAGTTTAGACGAAATTTACGAGACGAATCTTTTAAGCTTAATTAGACTATGATTAGACATTAATTGTCAAATAACAACGAAAACGCTACAGTATCGTTTTGCCAAAAAATTCGGCAACCAATGCATGGTGTTATACTTTATCAGCTTGCTTGTCCTCTACACCAGACAAACTGTCTGTTTTGGGAGCATTCATTCATGTAGCCCAAGTGTTGGTAGTCTTGTGATCTTCCTTGCTGGTGAATTCTTGGAGACTTTTGGGCCCAGGGAGAGGGCGACGGGACGGGGGAGTCACGTGCTGTGATCTCACCACTCACCTACGGAGTACCATCTTGGCGACCTGTACTTGAATGGTCATGGCTCGTGAGATGTGATTGAGAATTTAAGATTGGAGGCTTTGACTTCTGACCGGTTGTTGCCTGCTGATGTTCCCGTTTACTGGAATCCTAGGTGAAGACTGAAGAACAACCCTATCTACTGCTAGTAGTAGTATCTTAAGCTGTCAAAAATGTCGGAGTGGAAGGTGAAATCCAACCAATGTTCAGTTGAATCTTGTCAGGCATGAGCATGAATTGAGATCCAGATTAGCAAATGTGCGGCTGGTAGTGGTAAACGTTCCTGGGGGTTTCAAGAACGAATAGCGATAGGAGTAGAGAAAAGCAAAAGGATGAGACGGGGAATCGATAGATGCTTGCTGCTGCTGCGCAAGAAGCAGGGACAGTGAAAGATAAAGCGGCAGTAAAAGGGTAAGGAAACTGTAATGTAACCCGACCCGGTGCATGTGACGGATATCTACCTCTGCCTGCCTGTTCATGCTTTTGACCCTTTAGGTAGGTGTTTGGCTGTCCCTTCTAAACTTTAGTCGTTATCCTATTAAATGTTTGAACACATACATGGAGTATTAAATATAGACTAATTACAAAACTAATTACATAGTTTGCGACTAATTTACGAGACGAATCTTTTAAGTTTAATTAGTCCATGATTTGACAATGTGGTGCTACAGTAACACGTGCTAATGACGGCTTAATTAGGCTTAAAAATTCGTCTCGTGGAGTACCGATAGATTATGTAATTTATTTTTTTATTAGTATTCGAACACCCCATACAATATCCTCCCAACACACCTCCTAAATTTTAGTCACTGTTTCCAAACATCACAGTCGTGAACAATGTCTCTCCTGCCGCATGGTCCATGGATAGTACGGTGTTCTTGGTCTTGGCATCGATTGTTCGGCTGGCCGTTTCCGGCTGGCTGGCTTTTCTTTTCTTTTTTCAGTCAAAACAGTATTTTTCTACCATTATTTTCTGGCACCTACCGTAAAAACCAGCTGCTACAGTGCCCAATTAATGCCAGCCGAACACTCCCAGGCTCTTGTACGAGCCGAGCAGGGTCGTCGTCGTTCTCGTTAATTCGGCCGACCGTTTTTTCCATAGTAGTATAGTCAGTACTAGTATACAAATACAAATACAAATACAAATACAAACATCGATGACGACGGCAGCACGCGAGCGAGCGAGGTGGCCCTGTGGTATTGGCTCTGTTCATCTTGCAGCTTTTTGTTGCCTCGTGCTCTGTGCATACTACGAGTACTCTGCGGTGTTCTGCAAATCTGCAGTGCTGGTGAGTGGTGACCTGTGTGTCTGTGTGATTCGATAAAAGAAATACGGTCGTCACAGTACGTGCTGCGTATATTACGCAGTATAGGAGCCTGTTTGGGTAGGAAGATTTTAGTTCTACTAAGAGCATCTCCAACCGATCCCTCACTTAGCCCTCTATCCATCTTTTGAGGGTCAAACCGTAAAGGGGCCGTTCGCTGGTCTGGATGTTCCAGCCAGCCGGCTACTCCCCTCACAGTTTACTGTTCACCAAACCAGCCGAACAGTATTTTTCTCTCACAACAAACCAGCCGGAACAGTGTTTTTCAGCCAAATTTCAGACCAGCGAACGGGGCCAAAAACAACTCTCCAACCGATCCCTCATCCGACTCCCACCCGATGAGAGACCCTCATCCATCGCCTCCCATCCCTCACATGTAGGGGATCGCACGAGATCCCTCATCCACGGCGGGAGCAACCGCCGTGAGCCTGCACGCGCTCGGGCATCTCCGCTCGTGCTTACTCTGCGTCGACGCCGCCGATCTCCGACGCTGCCGTGCCGGCTCCATCGTCGACCAGGTATGCCCATCCTCCAATCGTATTAGTAGCTGTAGAGACTAGGAGAGAGAGACCGCATCTACTAGATCCCATCGTGGGGAGAAGATAGATCCGCACATCTACGGTCGGTTGGAGCAGCAAGCACGGCTCGTGCGCTGGTTGGGCAGGTCAGCAAGCTTCGCCGTGCTACTGCTCTGTGCCTGAGCAGCAAGCACCGCACGAGGTGACGGGATCTGCTGTTTGTGCTGCTATGCCATCCACCGTGAGAGAGAGGGAGAATAGGAAGTAGACAGCAGAGAAACAGAGTACTACTGGTTGCTGCTTGTGCTGCTAGGCAAGTATTAAACGTGAGAGAGATAGAGCTCAGAGAAGTAGCTAGAAGCACATGGTTGTACTACTGGTTGCTGCTTGTGCTGCTTGTGCTGCTATGCCATCCACAGAGTACTACTGGTTGCTGCTTGTGCTGCTAGGCATGAACTCATGTAGCTCATGTGTGCGATTACGAACTTCACGCTGTGTAGGTCTCACTAGCTGGCCAATACCCTCATAGTGGAAGTCGTCCTCTTCATTTCGCTCATCTTTGACTATCATGTTATGCATAATGACACAAGCTGTCATAATTTCTCTAAGTGTTTCTTTATCCCAGCTACGAGCTGGCCCACGAACAATGGCAAAACGAGCTTGTAAAACTCCAAAGGCTCGTTCCACATCCTTCTGTATTGCTTCTTGTGCCTTGGCGAAGTATTTTCTCTTGTTGCCATGCGGATTAGTTATGGTCTTCATAAATGTTGCCCACTTGGGATATATACCATCTGCTAGATAATACCCCATTGTATAATTATGATCATTGATGGTAAAATTAACTTGAGGAGCCTCCCCTTCGGCTAGCTTGGAGAAAAGATGTGAACGGTGAAGAACATTGATATCATTGAGAGACCCTGGCAAACCAAAAAAAGTATGCCAAATCCAGAGATCTTTGGAAGCAACAGCTTCAAGGATGATAGTGGGCTCACGCTTATGACCAGTATATTGACCATGCCATGCCACAGGGCAGTTTTTCCATTGCCAATGCATACAATCTATGCTACCAAGCATTCCTGGAAAACCTCTGCGCTCACCTATTGCAAGTAATCTGGCAGTATCATGCTCATTTGGAGATCTTAGGTATTCACCTCCAAACACTTCGACTACAGCTATAACAAACCTTTTAAGACTCTCTAGGGCCATACTTTCACCAATGCGAATATATTGATCCATAAAATCTGTCGGTACTCCATAACTGATCATCATCAATGCTGAAGTAACCTTCTGCAAACATGATAACCCAAGTCGTCCACATCTATCTCCTTTTTTGCACAAAATAATTGTCATGTTGTTCTATAGCTTGCATTATGTGAAGAAACAGAGGACGGGCCATTCTAAACCTAAGCAAAGAAATGAGAATAAAAAAACTTACACATAGAAAGAGCATGAGAAAAGAGGGCAAATGAATTGACCAAGATATTTACAAACCTGCGTCGGAATATAGATTCCCCGTAGGTTGGATGCTCTGAGAAATAGTCATTGTAGAGTCTAAAATAGCCACTTTCTCTTTCTCTATGAATATAGTTCCGGCCAGGTATAGAACCTCCCCAACGTGGACTATTCAAAGCTAGATATTGAGTGTGGGCTTGGTGTAATGCACTAAGGATGAGCTCAGGCTCATCATCATCATCCGAAGAT